GCTCTGCCCTGAGCTTGCAAGACCTGAGCAGGGCTGTGGGACAAGGGCTGCTGGCTGGGAGGCCTTTCATTCAGCCAGCCTTCACTTGGCGGCGGCTATTAGCAACCGCATTGACAGGGCATTCCTGCAGGTCCAAGAGGGGTTGGGCTGGATGTCCTCTAGAGGAACCTTCAAGGCAGCACTTTTGTTCTTGTTGTGAGCCTTAGAGCCTCTCCTGGGAGGGTTTCTGGGCATGGTTTGTTCAGAGGGTTGTTCTTTTGCCTTAGCCTTCCTTTGAGGCTGAGAGAGTGTGACTCGCTCAAAGTCACTGGGGGGTTTCCATGGCCGAGCGAGGATTCAAACCCTGGCCTCCAGAAAACATGCAGGGGATCCCTTTCTTGGCCAGCCCAAATGCAGAATATTAGCCAATGGTTGCAAGCTTTCGAGGCTCCACTGGCTTCTTCTTCAGGGAAGAGGCTACAAACCATAGAGGAGAGAAAAGGCCCTGCCTTGGCAATCCATGTTGGTCAGAGGCCTGCATTTGGAGGCAAACCACAATAATGCTCCTCAAGGGCAACAGGAAAAGGGGAAGAACAGCATCGAGTGTGTATTCCTGCATGGCAGGGGGTTGCACTAGGTCTCCCTTCCAGCTCAGGGAGGGTCTCTCTTCTCCCCCCTTTTCTTTGCATCAGCCGGAGGCCATGATCATTTTTCACAACTATATCTTTCCTTGGAATGCCAAAGATTTGGAGATTAAGGAGCCATTAGCACTACAAAAGCCTGGCTCTGGGTGCGAAGGAGATTCGATTCGCATCTGGACCCAGGTCCTGGCATTCCTGGATTCTCCTTCAGGGCCTCTTTCGAAATGGACCAAGGACTGGCATCCCTCTTTTCCATCCCAATGGGAGACTGAGCAGATGAAGAGGAATCCCATCAGTCCTCTAATTGGAGGGCAGAGGGCCTGTGTGGCCTAGTGGTTGGAGCGTTGGACGCATGGCTCTGGAGACCGGGGTTCGAATCCCAGCTTGGCCACGAAACCCACTGGGTG